ATTTCCTGAGACTGTGGCTCACGACTCGACTGAGGACCTGGTGGTCGCCTGGGACAAGGCGGCTACTGCGGCCTTGGATCGCGTCGTGCCTTTGCGGCCTCTGACCCAATGCCGATCGCGTCTAGCTTGTTGGTTTTCCGAGGAGCTGAGAGAGATGAAGCGTCGGAAAAGACACCTGGAGAGCGATTGGAGGACAAGCCGATCTGAATCTGACCGAACACAGGTGAGATCTTATATTAAGACTTACCTAGTGGCGATAAGAGCGGCGAAGTCTAGCTACTTCTCTGCTCTTATTGCATCTGCAGAGAACCGCCCAGCCGCACTGTTTAGGGTGACCCGCTCCCTACTTCAGGTGGGGGTACGGGAAGATCCCTTAAAGGGTCGAGCTGAGGATTTTGTACAATTCCTGCATGATAAAGTCGCTCAGATTCGGGAAGGCCTGGACTCCGATTGGGTAGATCCAGGGGAGGAGACAGGGGCAGGTCATGAGAGCGTTATCTGGGAAGAGTTTGACTCTGTGACTCCTGAGGACGTGGACAGGATTCTGGGCAAGCTTAACGCTGCCACATGTTTATTGGACCCGTGTCCCTCCTGGTTGGTACTGGCCTCCCGGGAGGTTACACGAGGCTGGCTCCAGGGGATTATAAATGCTTCTCTGAGTGAGGGTGTCTTTCCCGCTGCCTTGAAAGAGGCGGTTGTGAAGCCCCTCCTCAAGAAGCCTTCCCTGGACCCGGCTATATTATCAAATTATCGTCCAGTCTCCAATCTTCGCTTTGTTGCGAAGGTTGTTGAGAGTGTGGTGGCGCGACAACTACCCCGATACCTGGATGAAGTTGTCTATCTGGATCCGTTCCAGTCGGGCTTCAGGTCACGATACAGCACAGAAACGGCTTTGGTCGCGTTGGTGGATGATCTCTGGAGGGCTCGGGACAGAGGTTGCTCCTCTATCCTGGTCCTATTAGATCTCTCAGCGGCTTTTGATACCATCGACCATGGTATCTTACTGCACCGGCTGGAGGGGTTAGGAATAGGGGGCACCGTACTTCGGTGGTTCTCCTCCTTCCTCTCTGACCGTTCGCAGTTTGTGTTGGCGGGGGGCAGAGGTCGACCTCGAGGCACCTTATTTGTGGAGTGCCGCAAGGGTCAGTCCTCTCACCCCTTCTGTTCAACATTTATGTAAAACCACTAGGCGAGATCATCCGTGGTTTCGGGGTGAGTGTTCATCAGTATGCTGATGACACACAGCTATACATCTCCACCCCAGACCACCCCAATGATGCCCTTGCTGTGATGTCCCGTTGCCTGGAGGCCGTGCGGATCTGGATGGGGAGAAACAAGCTCAGACTCAACCCCTCCAAGACCGAGTGGCTGTGGCTTCCGGCCCGATATAGTCAGCTGGTACCATCACTGACAATAGGGGATGAGATCTTGCTCCCCACAGAGAGGGCCCGCAACTTGGGTGTCCTCCTGGATTCACGGCTATCTTTAGAAGATCATTTGACGGCCGTGGCCAGGGGTGCCTTTTATCAGGTTCGCCTGATCCGCCAGTTGCGTCCCTTTCTGGATCGGGACGCCTTGCGCACGGTCACTCATGCCCTAGTTACCTCCCGTATGGACTACTGTAATGCTCTCTACATGGGGCTCCCCTTGAAAAGCACCCGGAGGCTCCAACTGGTCCAGAACGTAGCCGCGCGGGTGATTATGGGCGCAGCTCGTTACGCCCATGTAACACCTCTCCTACACGAGCTGCACTGGCTCCCGGTGGTCTTCCGGGTGCGATTCAAGGTGTTATTTATCACCTTTAAAGCGCTCCATGGCTTAGGACCTGGGTACCTACGAGACCGTCTTTTGCCACCAATAGCCTCCCACCGACCAGTTCGTTCTCACAGGGAGGGACTACTCAGGGTACCGTCAGTCAAATTATGTCGACTGGCGACTCCCAGGGGGAGGGCCTTCTCTGTGAGGGCTCCAACCCTTTGGAATGAACTGCCCCCGGAGATACGGAATATCCCTGATCTCCGTGCTTTCTGCCGTGCCCTCAAGACCCTGATGTTCCAACAGGCGGGGCTAAACATATGAACATGTGAATGATTTTTTAAATGTGATCTAATTCTGTGTTTTATTTAATTGACCAAACTAAGTAATAATTTTAATTAGCAATTTTATAATGTTTGTGTATCTATATTTTTCTTGACTGTACACAGCCTTGAGTCCTACGGGAGAAAGGCGGTATAGAAATATAATAAATAAATAAAAATTAATTAATTAATTAATTATCTTATTTCTCCATTTACAGAATATATTTCTCAAAATCCCCATCCCACTTTTCAACTATAAGCAATATACAGTAAGAATATTCAGTTCTTACATTGAAACCCTTTAACTTGACCATACACATTTTATCTTAATCTTGTCTTAATACCTAATACATAAACAATATCACTATCCGTCCTTAATTCCTAATTTCTTACAATAACATCAATTAATTATCTTATTTCTTCATTTACAGAATATATTTTTCAAAATCCCCATCCCACTTTTTAACATTTCAATTTTGTATCTTAATTTAACTTGTTTTCATAATTAATCCAAATTGCCATTTCATATTTCATCTGCTATTCTGCTTTACTATAAGCAATATACGTCATCATATTCACTTCTTACATTAAAACACTTTAACTTAATTGATCATCCACAATTAATAATATTAATACAATTCCTTTAAATCTACTAATATATACTTTATTTCCCTATCTCCTTTACACTATTCTTCCCCTCTTTAACCATTTTCTCTTGGTCTCTCCAAAATTCCACTTCTTAATAATTTTCTCCTTTTATCCCATTCTCTTAACTTCTTCTTTTTTTAATTTTTATATTTATTATATCTTTTCTCCTGAATCCTTTTTCTCACTTTTAGATATATTACTCGAGTAATTCTCCCCAAGCTTTCTCCTAATCTCTTTCCACTCTTTCCTTCTTTTCCTTTTCTTTTCTTTTTTTTTTTTTTTTTTTTTTTGGGGGGGGGGGGGTATCCCATCTACTTTTTTTTTGCCACTGTAAATCCCAGTGAAATCATCTAACTGCTTTTTGCATTCAATTCTTTTTCCTTCAGTATTATTTTCTTGCTCCTCATTTATGCTCTTTTTCCTGTTCTATGTATTCCAGCAAAATTTCTGACTTTTTATTACCCTTTAGTAATTCACACATGTTTTTAAACATCTCAGTTAATTCCCCACACATCCAAGACTCCATATTGTCAATTTTAAAAATTGTTAAAACTTTTGACCTCTATGTAATTAAAATTTTAAAGTCCAGATACTCTCTTTTTATTTCCAGACAATGTCCAATTCAAATATTTATCCAATCCACTCCAAGTTAAAGCTTTGTTATCTTCCACCACCGTTGAGAATCTAAATCAAGCAATTTAGAAAAACAGATACTCCTTAAAAGTTCTCATAGTTTCCGAATTATCTTTTAGCAGTCAAGGTTATTTTCTCTTCTATCTTCGGACCTCTATTGCAGTACTCTCTTTCCACCACAAGATGTCTCTCTCAAATCCACAATATTCTCAGACCAACTAAGTGTCAAAGCTGTCAAAGGTATTTTAAATCCACATAAAAAGTACTTTTCCTTGGGTTTCTTTTTCTTTTATTATTTTTCGCTTCTCCAAATTCAATTTTAAATCCAATTGTAAAATTTTCTTTCTTGGGTTTTGGTATTTTAACCTCCTCTTTGTTCTTCTCCTTCAAATGTCAAAACTATCAAAAATATTTTAAATCCACATAAAAAGTACTTTTCCTCAGGTTTCTTTTTCTTTTTCTTTTATTATTTTTCACTTCTCCAAATCCAATTTTAAATCCAGTTGTAAAATTTTCTTTCTTGGGCTTTGGTATTTTAACCTCCTCTTTGTTCTTCTCCCTCCATTAAATTCCTAAGTGCCAATTAGCCACTCATTTCTGTTTCGGACACCTTTTAAAGTTATTAAAAATGTCTTTTTTACCTGTGAGTTGACCAATCACTCACCCTGTACCAGCACACCATTCATACACCACTCCTGCAGAAAAATCTTAGTCCGGCTGCCCCAACTTCAGAGCAGTCATTTTTCAATGGCTGCCACCCCCACCGCCAATTCGAAGAGCTGTCTCTAACCTTTCAAGGAACTTACCTGTTCCTCTTGGTCATCCGAGGCGCCTCTCCTTCTTCACCGTCCCTACAGGACAGTTCCGGTCCGAAGACCCCCCGACAGCGATTTGTCTGGCTGGATTTTTACGGAGCTCATCAGAGCCCACTATTTTTCCAGCCAGTCTCACCGCGATGCTTCCAGTTTCTTCCCCGTGCTTCTTGAGTTGTTTTCCCTTTAGGATTTTCATCGATGGAATCTTTTCTAGGTTCTCTCTGAGTTTGTTAAAATCAACTCTTTTAAAATTTAAGACACTGGTTGGATTATTTTCTACTGCTTGTAGAAAAGCAAGCATTACATTGAACTCCAGTATGACATGGTCACTTTCACTCAAGGTTCCAGCAACTTCAACTCCCTCTGTCACTTCTTTTCTATTAATAAGAATTAGGTCCAGTATAGCTTTACTTCTAGTTCCCTCCTCGACCTTTTGCCAAGTTGTTGGCTAGGCTGATTAGGAATCTATTTGATCTCCCATTGCAGAGTTTGTCTCCCAGTTGATACCTGGATAGTTAAAGTCTCCCATTATTACTGTGGTATGTTTCCTACATACATTTGTTAACTGGTTGGCAGAGTTCATCTATTTCTTCTGATTGGTTGGGTGGCCTGTAATATATACCTATGACAATGTCCCTTTTTTCCCTTTTATATTGACCAATATACATTCTGGGGGAGTTTATCTTTGATTATGTGCATTTCTGTAGATATGTAGTGGTCTCTTGCATATCTATCATATGGTAGTTAGCATTTTCTAAAATTATAGCATTTCTTTCTGTGAGTGAGTGTGTTGGTTTTAGCAGAGTCTTTTTGTTTCCTCTTTCAGTTTTATGGATATTTATCCCAACAGCAAAATATGATGCAGGATTATGTCCGAACAGGCACATATCAGAGAGCAATCCTGCAAAACCATAGTGATTTCAAAGATAAGGTATGGCTAAAGTTTAATAATGCCTTAAGTGTAACCAATGAAGATTCCTTCTGAATATTGCATAGTTGATAAAGGGCAAGACTGAATTTACATATTGTCTTTATATGTACACTGAGAGACAAATTCCTTGTGTGTCCAATCACACTTGGCCAATAAAGAATTCTATTCTATTCTATTCTATTCTATTCTATTCTATTCTATTCTATTCTATTCTATTCTAAATATATATTCAATTATGATATCTAAATCATGATACTCTTTGGCTCAGAATATTTTGCTTAGTTAATCTGGAAATGATGGAAGCTTGAAGAGTTTGAAAAAAGAAGGATGTGGTCTGATTTAGTAACACAGGGATACTACAATAAAGTTTCTCTCAAATAAGGTACCGTGAAAAGGAAAATCTTGATGGTGGCCTGCAGCTAATCCTGAGTGAGGATCAAAAGGCAGGGTACACAATTTGGGATTTCTAATAAACGATTGCTGTAAATTGAATTACTGGTAGCCAGAGAATAGACAATATCAGCTTCCATTTGCTCATCAGCTACACTGTTTTGTGGAGATGACTATGCCATAATTATTAATGCCCTAATTATAAATATTTTGAATTGCTACAGATTTCCTAATCTGGTGCCCTCCAGAGTCATTGGACATTAATTCTCAAGAGGTGGTGCATTCAAGTTTTATCTTCTTCAAAGCAGTTTTTCTGCTTTGGATCCAGATAGCTGCATATCTTTAATAAATACACTAATACAATAAACAAATGTAGAACTCTGAGCAACCGGAGCTTGGATACAAGATCCACTCTTCTAAATGTTGTAGCTGTCAGTAAGGATGGCTTAGTTTTACCTTACAAATTTAGTATTTAATAAATATTTAATAAATTGTAAGACTACATTTTATAGAAAAGGTTTTACTGATATTTAGTTTTTGTGATTGTATTGATCTAATTTTTCCTCCAGATTGTATTAGATGTTGGCTGTGGTTCTGGCATCCTGTCATTTTTTGCAGCCCAAGCTGGAGCAAGAAAAATTTATGCAGTGGAAGCAAGCACAATGGCTCAACATGCAGAGGTTAGTGTGAGACACCCACATGGCTGCTTCATTCAGTGACCACAATCCCAGCTCTCCAGTTTCGGTTGTTAAATGACCATGCCAGGGGTCATCTCAAGGTGGGAGAGGTCTTGGGAGATCTGGCTCCCACTGGCACATAGAAACTTTCCACGGATTGAAAGGCCTTGGCTGGCTAGGCCCAACTGCATGCGGGCCTCCTCCTTTCTCACTCCCAGAAGGCCTCAGCCAGCTAGCCTACTGGCACACAAAAATATGTTGTGTGCTGGAAGGCTTCAGCTGGCTGGGCCCAGTGGCTTATGGGCCTTTACCCTCTCCCCTCCCACTTCTCAGAAACCTGACCCACTCCCCCCCCCAATACTACTGCCCTTGTCTCCCCCATACCAAGCCTGGGTCCACTTCCCTTTTTCCCCCTGCAGCTGCTGACAAGTGTACTCAGCTGATGAGAGGCTCACCTAGAAAACTAGTGAATGCAAACTTTCTGAGGGCTAGAGTGGTAATCATTCTCAAGGGCGACCAGGAATAGGAACTTCGACTTCAATCAAACTCTGTTTCCCCAAAAATAAGACTTCCCTGGACAATAAGCCCAATCAGGCTTTTGAGCGCATGCGCTAAAATAAGCCCTCCCCGAAAATATTTAAGTGCATGCACAGCCCCTGCCATTTCCTCAGGTTAGGGTTAGGGAGACAGAGATGGAAATCAGGTAAGACGACAAGAGAAGCCCTGTCTTGTTCAACGCGCCCCAAAATAATAAGACCTCCCCCGAAAATAAGGCCAAGTGCTTATTTCAGGGTTCAAAAAAAATATAAGACAGGGTCTTATTTTCGGGAAAACATGATATGATTGGGGCTTCTTTCAATTTACCGATGAAACTGCATTTCATAACATGCCTGGGGAAGAAAGGAACATACAACAACTACTTATAGCAAATATTTTATTGTAAATGTAGTAGTCTAACCTGGCTGGCAAGCAGCAGATTTTTCTTATGTCCAAACTGGATTTCATTTATAAATAGAGGTTTGGGGTGAATTAGTATGCTCCTGTATCTAAAGCACCTCTTTCTTTCTAATTATCAACTATCTGAAAACCAAATTCTCGTAAATATCTGTGGAATGATGGCTTTCTAATTTTTCCCTCTTTCTGTCCAGGTTTTAGTGAAGAGTAATAATCTTACTGATCGAATTGTGGTTATTCCTGGGAAGGTAGAAGAAATCTCACTTCCAGAACAGGTGGACATCATTATTTCTGAGCCAATGGGGTACATGCTTTTCAATGAACGAATGCTGGAGAGTTACCTGCATGCCAAGAAGTATTTAAAACCTAGTGGTAAGTAACTTTTTTTTTCTTGTGTTCAGTTGTGTTCGATTCTTGGAGACTATCTGGACATGTCCCTGCAGTTTTCTTGGCAATGTTTTTCAGAAATAGTTTGCCATTGTCTTTTTCCTAGGGCTGGGAGAATGTGACTAGGTCAATGTCACACAATGATAACAAAATAGAGGAAGGAGGAATTGGAGCTTGCTTCTGGCCTATTAGCTCAGGATGGTGTTGGGAATTCTGATACTAGGCATTGTTCAATTAGTTAACATAGGTTAGTACCATAAAACTATTACACACTGTTTTGGCTGCCTCTTTGATGGGAAATGGGAATCTCTTCTAATATGTTTCTCTGCATTCTGGGCACTTGATATCATTATTGTAACTGGTTTGGTTTCTTTGCTTTGTTCTGGATGGTGTCTAGACCAGAGGATCTGGACCAGTGGGGATAAGGCTGGTCGTAAGTCAGGAATTTGGATATATGCTGCTACTTGGTTACATGTTGGCTCCTCCAACAATAGTGTTTATCAAATCAGCATTATATATGACAGTAACACTGGTTATATTCTGATCATTCACTAACTACGCTCCTGCTGTGTTACTACAAATAGGTATCAACTTACAACAACAATTGGGACTAGAATTTCAGTCATAACTCATGACAGTCATAAGTTGGGGTATCCACTTACAATTGCTTTTATGGTGGTCATGAAGCAAATAATTAAACAAACCATGCAGTCATAAGTCTGAATCCATTCTTTCCAAATGGGCATCTTTTGCCAGAAACTGGCAAAAATAATAGCAAATTGCAGTTACTTGACCAGGGGTGATTCAGCCACTTGTAAATGTGAGCAATTTGCCAAATGCCTGAACTTGGCCATGTGACTGTGAGGGGACAGGTGGTGTGATATTGTCTGAGACTGTGTGTGTGTGAGAGAGAGAGAGAGGGAGAAAGAGAGAGACTGCATCAACCTAGACTGGGAAAGCTGGCTGCACAAGAAAGAGAAGCTGGGTAAGGTGGATAGAGAAGCTTCCCGGGTCCCCTCATCCCAGAAGCAGCAACCTTGCACTCTCCCCTCTCTGCTAGTCCCCTTCACACGGGATAGCCCAGCAGCAGAGACAGAGGGAGAAAGGGGCAGCAGCAGCCACTAACATTGAGGGGAGAGTGCCACACAAAAACGCCACCCCCTTCTCCCTCTCTGTCTCCATTGCTGGGCGATCCCGTGCGAAGAAAGGGGCTAGTAGAGAGGGGAGAGTGCGAGGTTGCTGCTTCTGGGACAAGGGGACTTGGAACATGTCTGCATCCAGCTCACCTAGCTTCTCTTCCTCTCTCAGCCAGCTTTTTTGGGCCAATTTCAGGCCATTTTGGGGCCAATTTTGGCTGGAAAAACAGCCTGAAAACAACCCGGAAAATTGCCTGTTTTGGGGGCATTTTGGGGCCACTTTCAGGCTGTCTTTCATCCTGTTTTTGCCCGAAAAATGACCGAAAATGGCCTGAAAATGGCGGGCTGGGCTAGCTGGTAGTCCGATTTTCTGGTTCTTCAAACTGCGCAGAAACGGAACAACCAGTTCGGGTAAACCGATCCAAACTGGCAGCAGCCCACCTCTGCTTACAACCCAAATTTGAAGTTCCAATGACCCTCCCACCCCATGGTCACATAACTGCATTTTGGATGGTTGGCAACTGATCTACATTTATGGTTGCAGCACTCTATGGTCATGTGACCATGATTTATGATGTTTTTGTTGCAAACTGGCATATACTTTCAATTTCCAGGAAAAAACACCTCAAAGCAAACTGAGTAATGACCACTGCATTCCCTTTACCATCACTCTGTTCACTTAAGGATTGCCACTAAAAGGTCATAAAATCAGTTCTGGTCATACAATGGCCCACTTTATGATTGCCACAATTTATCATCAAAATTACAGTCTTTAAGTTGAGAAAACTACCTGTATTGTTCTTGCAATAACTTTCCTAATTCCTTTCTTTTTTATGTCCTGAGTAATTAATTGTAATCTTACCAATCCATCTTGATTTGATGATTTAAGGTGTCAATTTGATGTTTCATTTCATTGTTCACTGTGTTGAGCCTTCTTGCTTCTTGTTCCCACTTTAATTTTGTCTTTGTTGCTTCTGACTTCTTTTTCTACATGGCAATATCAATAACTAGATGTCCCAAAGGCTTTAATCTAGCCATGTCATAAACAACATTAATGCTCCAAAAGTTCCTCAGCTCTTCCTCAGTAGCATGTTGAGTGCCATATGACATGAAAGGCCTATCCTTCAACACTATATCATCAATCATGTTATATTTTCTGTCCATGTGGGGTTTTAATAAAGGTACAGGAGTGGTTTAACATTGCCTTCTCCCATGCAGTATGAATGGATCCCTTTGCTGTCGTCACTAAAATGCTTCCAGTATTTTCCTATATCATTTCTGCCCAAAGTAGATGTCTGCTTGCTAGGCAGCTAGAATGACCTTAATGCTTTGGATGACCCTGATGGGAATATATAGATTTGGCATACACTTCTGACATCCCTCCCAAAAACATACAAATATCCCTGGCCAAAGTGAGACAGCATGGCAAGACTTGGGGGAGGGGAAGCTAGTTTTTATCAAAGTAGCTGTTAGAACCTGCCCCATCCTGCTTCTACCCTGTTTCTACTTCATTGATAGAAATTTATCCTGTTCTATTAAATGAGTCTCCTGTAGATAAGCAGGATCTTCAATTAGTGATTTTACACATGCTAGGTTTATGGAGAACTTTTAGATTCTTGCAGTTATTTTATATTAAGAATAACTAATTTCATCCATAAATTTTATTTTGGCCCACTTATCACTATTCTTCCAATACCAATACCCTTCTCCTATTTTAAAAAACCTCCAAAGATGTAATGAACATTCCCTTATATTTGAATGATCTTGGTTTGCTTTCAAGTTGATCAGCACTCAACTGCTGGAATTGGCTATTACAGTTATTATATCAAACTCTAGCACCATATTTTTTTTAATTAAAAAGATTAACAAAATATTGGTACTGGTGATCCTCTGTATGGTGCTTTTACTTATGCACATCTACTTATTCTATACATATAATTTTTGAAAAGGAAGAACGATGGAGTAATGGGAAGAAGCATCAATCCGTCATGAAAGATGACCATTCCTATTTGAAATAGCCAGGGCTTCAGGATCAGTTTTGAAGCCCTGGTTTGATTAAACTTCAGTCCCCTTCTGTGAGGCAGTTCCTACTGATATGCTGTGGCCATCTTTCAAGTGCTTTGGTCAGGATGCAAAGAGAATTTGGGGTTCTAAGCAAAGATATACCAGAGGTTTCAAACCTCTTCAAATGGGCTATTCAGACTTTACCAAAACGTTTTGGTGATGGGCCATTTCATGGATAGAATTCTCTTGGTAAGTTCTGAACATTTTCAGTAAGTAGAATAGCCCATTTAATGCTGAAATGCTTTAACTTGAAATGATTTTCCATGCTTGTAATTTTGTACCATTAATAGTATAAGGTAGCTTTATTAGGTAAACTCAATTGTATGCAAATTTTTGAGTTCCTTGGAATTTGTCAGCCAGTATGTTAAACAAAACCAAAACAAAAATGAGGTGGGACAGAATTTTGATTTGATTTGTTACCTTGGTTTTATTTTGTTTTGATAGTTTATCAGTCTTGACAATTGACCTCCTGTTTTGTTTGGTTTTTAAAGCATATTCGATCAAACTTCGGAGATTTTATTCAAATTGAAAAACAAGATAAAATGTTTCTATTCTAAAAAATTAAATGAAACTATAAATATACGTTGTCTTCTGCTCCATTTTAGGAAATATGTTTCCAACTATTGGCGATGTCCATCTAGCCCCATTTACAGATGAACAGCTATACATGGAACAGTTCACAAAAGCTAACTTTTGGTGCGTCTTTTCTCTTCTGAAATCCAGTTTTTGCTACTGTAGTTTATCCCACAGAAAACGGGAACTAAACCTGTACTTCAGCCTTCCCCACTTGGGTCACCCCAAATGTATTCGATTTGACATGTATGAAGAGGAGCTATGGAATTAGTTGCCGGAATGTTGAACTACATGAAGAATCTCTGGTTTCATTTGAACTTAGTGCTGCCTGTTCTGCCTACTCTAGTTAAGTAGCAGGCAGGTTCTTCCAAGTGTTCTGCAGTGCCATAGCTATCTTTCCGGAATAGGTTTTTTCAGATGAATGTGAGATGTGTTCCTTTTCAAATCTTACATCAGTTTCCTCTTGGATTTCTTCTCTTTAATATTTTATATTTTATTTTATATTTTTCATCTTATCAGTTGGTGGTATCTTATATTGTAGGTATCAGCCATCTTTTCATGGAGTAGATTTATCAGCACTCCGAGGTGCAGCAGTAGATGAATATTTCAGACAGCCTGTTGTGGTAAGTTGGATTATTCCTATAACATTTTGGAGGTTTGGCTGTAGCTGAAATAATTAATCTGTGATAGCGTGCATATGCAATTGTGCTAAGCACGGACATTGTGCTAACATGTCTTCAATATTACCCATGGTGGTTCTAATCCTAGAAATAGTTGTTTGATTATCAGTTTCCTCATTCTTGGCCCATGTTCAATAAATAGTACCTTTCCCTTACACAAAATAACTAAATTCACTAGTATTTGTCCTTTTGTCATTAATCAAAAGTTGGCTTCAGGCAAAGCTTCACCACAAATACTACTTTATGATTTTGAACACATTTATAGGAATCTTGAAAGTTCTTTGAGAACTTAGTCTGATTCATACAGAAATTTGATACAACTCCTCCCCCTTAAGGTTTACAAAGAAGCAGACAATGTGAGATAACTTTTTTCTGTTAAGAACTTCATGCCCTTTGGTTCAATGTTCACAGATTCAATGTGTCATACATCTCATTTAAACTAATTAAAGCTCTTTTTCCAAGGGTATGCTGAACTGATAATAAAGCAGTTATAGAATAGAGCAGACAGAATCTGTTGGCTAGGCGTAATAATGCTGTAATTAACTTTCCTTTTTCTCTGGCCAATCCCTCAGTAATCAGTCACTGTCCAATTGAAAGTTCTCAGGTTGTTTTGGAAACAGACCCTATGTTTGAGCTTTTCCCATTGCTGCATTCCTTTTGTTGACCTTGTTCTTGATTGGTACTCCTCACATCAGGGCCGACTCTGCTTCAAACCCAATCCCTCCCAAATCACCCACATTCCAATTCCTCCCACTGTTGCTATGTCAGGCTGGCAACATACAAAGTGAAGCAGCAGCAGTATGTCAGTTGTGACACAGTTAACACCTCCTTGTTTCTTTTCTTGAAAAGAAGACTACTTAGAATGAGAATTCTGAATGCAAACACTGTGCTTGTAGTTCCATTAGGTTAACCTTTGTGTTAATTCATGGATGGATGGTTTTCCTTCATTTAAAGATTTTTGGAATTAATTGTGACCAAAATATTGACTGGCTAAAATGTTAGAACTAGAGGGAGGGGCTTAAATCACAGAGTAGTTTATTCCATTGCCCACTATCTACTATACCTCTGCTTCTGCTTCAGTGTGCCTGAAAACCAAGAAGGAAAGTGTAGCATAATAGAACTGTGCAATGCATTAGATCTGAAATAGCTATATTTTTTCCCAGGGTTGTGCAGCTGCCAGCACAATATCAGAAAAATGTGTGCTTGGTTTAAGGAGTTGCAGACATGTACTATATGTGTGTACTGACAGACAGTTTTCAGTCTTGTGGAAAGTTCACATTCCTATAATATAGTCTAGCTTTCTTCATTTGGTGAACTACAGATGAGCTGGAGGAAAAATCAGCTGAAAGATTTATTTTCCCCCCAGATATTTTCTGGTCTATAAGACAATATATTATCATCCTTCCTTTTAATTGGGAGCCAAGGTTTTAGTCATCCTACCCTAACCAGAACTAATCATTAATTAATTTTTTTGTTCCTAGGATACCTTTGATATTAGGATTCTAATGGCCAAATCTGTTAAATACACCGTAAACTTCTTAGATGCCAAAGAAGCAGATTTGCACAGGTAATCTTTTCTCCAAAAAATTCAGGACTCTGATCCCACTGTGATTTCATGTTGGAGAACTTATATTTCCTTTAGAAATGTTATGTTTGTTTTAACATTAGTAAGACTTGTTTGTAATTAGATGCCAAAATATCAACCATCATAATTATGGTCAATAATTTTCTATAGCACATTGGCAAACTTTTGTAGCTACCTTTTGACCTCATTTGGTGATATAACTCCTTCCATGCATTCCCATTCGGAATCTATACAGATGAGCCATCATAGGCTTATAGTTTGGGAAACTGCCATGAAGAATAGTCTAAACCTCCTCTTTTGTGAATTTTCATTCATTACTATGGAGTTGATAGAATCTTTCCCTGAAACATTTTCCATGGTGATCCAGAACTGACCCAAGATAGATCATGCTTCTGGTTAGCCTCTTTTTCTTACACTGGGGGTGTATATTTTGCCCTGGTGAAGGTGTCTATATGAAACATACTTTGCTTATGGGAAGCCAAGACTTATTTGCTCAGTATCTTGGGGGAATAGGTTTTGAGTACTGGAAAAAATCATCATGCTGGATTATTTGAATTTTTTTTTAATTTGATTTATATAATAATAATAATAATAATAATAATAATAATAATAATAATAATAATTTTATTTCTATACCGCCCTTCTCCCGAAGGACTCAGGGCGGTGTACAGCCAATTTAAAAACACAAGACACAACAATGATTAAATATGCCGCCCTTCTCCAGAGATTCAGGGCGGCTTACAGTACGTTAAGCAATAGCCTTCATACTTTTGTATATTTATACAAAGTCAGTTTATTGCCCCCACAAACTGTGGATTAGGTGCTGGTGGGGTCATTTTCAATGCTTGTCTGCTGATTTTTGTCATTTCTTAGAAAGTCTAAAAATAGTCCATCCCCTAAATAGGACCCATATTATTTAGCTAATGCCTGTTCTCAATTCAGGTAGGTTTCTTTTGGGGTCAAAGTTGGAACCTAGTTGATAATTCTGAGCTACCAGCATAGATAAACATTTAACTTAGAATTATTGTACATAATATTTGTTTGAGGATCTTTTTATCTTGAAATGTGAATGTGTAAATTTAAATTGAAATAGGAATTAAAAACCAGTCTTTTTTAAAAGAAAGATTACATTTCTTTAATCCAGATTTTCTCAACCTTGGCAACTTTAAGATGTGTGACTATCAGGGAAATACTGGAATTGATGTCAACACATCTTAAGGTTGCGAAGAATGAGAAACACTTCTTTAATCAAATAATACTTCAAGGAAAATTGTTACCCTCTTTGTCAAAATGTCAATACATAAGCCATTCTGAGTTTCTGAAGTGTGCAATGAGAATTCTTCTGTGTTGGGAAACTTCTGAATATAATTCTCAGCATTGCTCCAGACTATAATGTTTGACTTGAGTAATTGTGCCTTATATACTGTGTGAAAGGGGTTATTATATTCCAAATATGTAATGTGCACTATATGTTGTCCACATATATAGAACAATATGTCTACAAGAAGTTAGCTTCATGCGACTCACTGTGACTTTTATTTTCCAGGATAGAAATTCCATTCAAATTCCACATGCTACATTCAGGATTAATCCATGGGTTGGCTTTTTGGTTTGATGTAGCCTTCATTGGTTCAGTGTAAGTGAGGATAAAGATGTGCTTTCCTACCATCAAGTGTTAACTTAATTGTTATTACAATCTTGTACAACATTAACTTGAACAATACAATAGCAACTATAAATGGCAATTATTTTTTGATTTGTGTCTTGTGGCTAAATATGTGAAAAATAAAGAAAAGAAAGAAAATGTGCATTTCTTATTTTCTTTCTTATTGTTCTTATTTGGAAATGAAGAGTTTCCTAATCCTATATTATTTATCTCAAGACTGATTAAAGAGGGTAGTTAATTCTAAAGTTGTGTTATTTGACCCTAAATCTATGCACCTAATGAGTTACATATTAATTTCTAATGTATGTTAAATTGGCTTGCACAAACCAATTGTGCAGCTGAATATGTTTTTAAAACTACAGTAAATATTTCAAAGATGGACTACGGATTCATGAACTTTCTACTCTTGACTTTTGTCTCTATCCTTCTATTAGAATGACTGTTTGGCTTTCAACTGCTCCCACAGAACCTCTTACCCACTGGTATCAAGTTCGGTGTCTGTTTCAGTCTCCCCTTTTTGCTAAGGCTGGTGACACCCTCTCAGGGACATGCCTCCTCATTGCCAACAAGAGGTAAGATGTGAGGAATCATATTGAGAAAATGGCCAAGTTTCCTCAAAGTAACTTGTCAAAGTTTGCTATGGGTCTAATGCAGATATGTCAAATTCAAGGCCCACAGACCAGATCCAGCCCATAATGTGTTTAGATCTGGCTCACAAGCAGACTAGTAGGAGGAGGTGATTGAGTAGTTACCTCCTCGCTTCTTTGGGTGCCTTGTCAATGGCAGCAGCACTAGCAGAAAACAGGCAGTGGGAGCCTCTGTAATGTGTGGAGCTATGCGGCAGCTGTAACCACAGTGGGTGGCCGGCCACGGTAATGGGACAACTCATAAAGACCAGGTGGGCGTGGCTCAGTAGGCATGGCTGGGTGGCTGCAGCCAGGTCGCTGCGACTAGATGGGTGTGGCTGGCTCGAAGTGGCCTGCTCGATGCTGCTCACTGGGCGCGGCTGATTTGGTACAAAATAAGTTGCACTAGCTAACTCAACGTGGGGACAATTCAGTTCCCCACAAGCTCCTCGTCTCCCCAAACTGCTGGCAGCCAAGCATGTGCGCGCATACACACACACCACATTCCAAGTTTGGGGATTTTTATGTACAGGGGAAGGAGAGGGCCTTCTCCCCAAGCCCAGGCATGATTGGCAGTTTGCTAGCTCAGATGTGGATAAAAGTCTCCAAGCTTGGAATGGTGTATGCAAGTGCGTGCATGCGCACAGCACGCCAAAGGAGACGTTCTCCCAATCCCAGATATGGTTGGCATTTCCCTGTCCAGTGCCCCGCCCGGCAAAGCAGGAGGTGGAGGACAACGCTTCTGCATGTGGAAGCACGGAGGAGAAAGTTTGCAGGAAGCAGTTTCATCCAAGTCTCAACATCTGCCTTGAAAGATCTCTGGAGAAGAGGGTGGCGGTGCAGCTGCACGGGGGAGGTTGCTTCAACAAGCCAGCATCCTTACCACGCATGATTGGAAATGAGGATTTCCTTCCAAGAAGGGCCAGCCTCCCTCGTGCAGGACCTGGGAGTGCTGCTCCCCTGCCACTCCCTCCTCCTCTCCAGAGATCTGTCAAGGCAGAAGTTGGACTCGGAGGAAACTGTTACCTGAAACTTTCTCCTTTGCACTTTCACATGCAGCAATGTCCTCCGCCTCCTGCTTTGGTGGGAGGGGGCACCAGACAGGGGAACACCAGCGATGTCTGGGATTGGGAGAGGAACATCTCCTTTGGCGTGCTATGCACTGTTGTGATCTTGGCTTCCCGAGTCATTAAAAACATGAATAGTCCCAAAACCCTCTTTTATTGCAACAGCTGAGTCCTAATTAGTTGTAAAAAGTCAGGAGAAGTCCTTCAGGATAATCACCAACCTTTATCTCCCTTGACATGCTGCCAAAGACCTACTTGGCAAAGCCACACAGAGTCCAGAATCAAACAGAGATGCTGACTGGGAACAGAATTAACAACGTTTCTTTCCTGCAAAGGGCCCATGTCCCTTTGCTCTTCTTTTAAGCCTTATGGGAGGGGCCAATCATCTTCAGGCCTTACTCCCGAGTCATCCCTTTTGTTTTAATTGTTCTTGCCTTCTGGCATCTCTGCACATGCGCACACTAGGAACAGACACCTCCTGTTCCTCTGCCTCTCTGATGTCTGATTCTGGAGGCTCCAGAGTCCGTGCATAATTCCCAGATGACCCTGGCCCCATCTCTGCCTCTGACGCAGAGCCCTCGTCCGGGCCTTCCCCAGACTCCAGGACTGGCCCATGTTCCTCCCCAGCCTCCTCACTGTCTGACTCTGCTGCCAGCTTCGCAGGTTGCTGGCTGACCACAACATGCGCATGCATGCACACATACCATTCCAAGCTTGGAGACTTTTATCCACATCTGAGCTAGCAAGCTACCAATCGTGCCTAGGCTTGGGGAGAAGGCCCTCTCCTTCGTCTATGAATAAAAGTCCCAGAACTTGGAATGCAGTGCATGTGCATGTGCATGCACATACTTGTCTGCTAGCACTTTGGGGAGGTGAGCTTTTGGGGCACCAAGTTATCCCCACGTCGAGTTAGCCAGTGTAACTTGTTCCATCCTGACCCAGCCATCCCGAGTCAGCCACGCCCAGTGAGCGGCATCGAGCCAGCCATACCTATCCAGCCATGCCCACCTAGTTGTGGTGACCCAGCAGCGATCACCCAGCCACGCCTACCCAGCCACGTCCACCTGGCTGCTGTGAGTCACCATAGTCTTACATGCAACTGGTCGTTTGAGGGCAACCATAATGCTGAAGAGGCCCTCAATAAAATTGTGTTTGACACCCCTGCTCTAATTGGTTCAATAATGAACTTGAATATAGCAAAAATTATTTGAAATATGTTTGTTAGGTGCTGTGAGTTGATTGTTACTTCAAAGATTCCAAAATCAGTTACAAAATACAATTGAACATAAAAACTACCGGGTTTCCCCGAAAATAAGACATGTTCAGATAATAAACCCAATCAGGCTTTCCAGCACATGCAATAATATAAGCCACCCCTGCAAAATAAGCCCCCCCACCAACTACTTACACGCATGCGCAGCTGGTCCCGCCATTTCCTCTGGTTGCTTGCTGCGCAACCAAAATGAGTTGAGGAGGCGAGGCTGGAGGGGTGGCAGGTGGGGCAGGGGAGAAGCAAAATGCATGGAGCGACTCGTGGCTCCCCTTACCGTCTCTTCTCCCCCTCTCACAGGCATGGCAGGACTCCTGCCCCTTGCTTAGCCAAGGCATGGCAGGTGGGGTAGGTGAGAAGTGGGATGCAGGTCTTACCTTTCAAGCTCCATCATTTTTGTCACCGTCTCCCCAAACCCTAACCCTGCATCCCGCTTCTTGCCCACCCCACCTGCCACCCCCAAATTGCATCCCTAAAGGGGGCGGGTGGCTAAGCAAGGGGCAGGAGCCCTGCCATGCCCGGTGAGGGGGGGAAAGAAGACATGGCAAGGGGAGCCACATCTCGCTCCACGCATCTTGCTTCTCCCCCACCCCACCTGTCACCCCTCTCAATAAAGAGACGGTGGGGAAGGGAAGCATCCAGGCTGCTGTTGCCATTGGGGTGGGGTGGGCCGTATAAGGTAAGACATGCGTCTTACCTTTCAAGCTCCGTCACTTTCCTCATCGTTGTGTCCAGGGAAACAGGCTGTAAAAGAAAACCTTATTGCGAGTTTGAGAAGTTTGATTGAACTCGTGAGAAGGTTTTCTTTTACAGCATGTTTCCCTGGACACAATGGCGAGGAACGCGACAGAGCAGGAAAGGTAAGATGTGCGTCCCGCTTCTCACCCGCCCTACCTGCCACCCCCAAATTGCATCCCTAAAGGGGGCGGGTGGCTAAGCGAGGGGCAGGAGCCCTGCCATGCCCAGCAAGGGTGGGAAGAAGAGACAGCAAGGGGAGCCACGCCTCGCTTCTCCCCCACCCGACCTGCTACCCCTCTCGATAGAGAGACAGCTGGGAAGGAAAGCAGCTGTTGCCATTGGGGTTGGGTGGGATGTGTTGGGCTGCTCAGCCGGTGTGAAGAACAGGGAGGGGAGGCGACAGCAGCGATGGGTCATGCAGTCCCAGGCTCGCCTCCTCCTGCACTTTCAAAATAATAATAAAAAAAACCCAATAATAAGACCAAGCCCTTATTTGGGGGATCAAAAGAAAATAAGACCCTGTCTTATTTTCGGGGAAACATGGTATTTTTTCAAGTAAACATTTTGCAATTAGGATTTTATCGTCAACTTGCCTTCATTATCTCTAATGTTACTGATTATCTTTCAATATGGTACATTTGAGAACAGTTCTTGAAAAACAGCAAGCTATACTTGTGTATTCATGAAATAAAATAGGGTAGGCCTACATAAAATTAGTTATTTATTTACAATTATTGAACTTTCTAGATTAAATATTGTAGCAGAAAATGTTTGGTCTTTTCTGTAATACTTTAGAAGAGAAGTGGCTGAAATTGGGTCTAGTGCCTCTTATATTTCGTTTTTAAATCAAGTTCACAATTGCTTTCTCTTACCTTTCAGTACATTAGGATCTCCATTAGCTTGAACTGGTCTAATTGTCATAAAGGATAACTAAATGACTATTCACCATACCGCTTACTCTTCTTTTTCAGACAGAGTTATGACATAAGTATTGTTGCTCAAGTGGATCAAACAGGCTCTAAATCCAGCAACCTTCTTGACCTGAAAAATCCCTTTTTCAGGTATCACACTGAATTTTTATATGCATCTTTGCCTCTCTGTATGTGAGTGAGAGTGAGAGAGTATAGGTCTGTGGTCTGAAAATGGTGCGTCTGAAAGAAGAGACTATTCTAATATATTATCAAGCAGAAAGAACCAAAACACAAATTTTAGCTATATATCCAACAAATATATTTAAAATCTGTAATTAAAAAAACTTTTATATTGTTCTTGACCAAAAGGCATAGAAGCAATTAAAAGCTCTGGTTTAAGGTAAGACTATTCATATTATTCTAATGTTTTACTTATGCTTCAGAACCTTGGAAACTGGACTTTTAAGATGTATGAGTCGGTTCAGTTTTATATGCTATGAGGGATTAATAAAATACAGTTTACATTAATACTGTCAACTATCCAACTTGGTAAGACAGCAAAAGAAACTCCTGGGACTTTTTTTTTTTTTTTACCAACAGTATAACTTTACTGAAAATTCCAGAAATAGAAAAGCCATTGCTATGAAAAGCTATTAGCTAGAAAAATAGCTAGAAAAGCTATTTCACGCACAAATAGTATAAGAAAACTTTCCCTTTCCCCCCCAGTCCTCCCAATGTCCATTTTTCACCAATCATTTGCACTCACTTTGTTTTGGGAATGATCTATCTGCCTCGGACATTCCTAGCCAGTGACCTTGTGGTGTTGATTGAGTCTGTTTCAGGCTTCCAGTCAGTACACTTGAATTCCAAATTTCCTTCCCAGGCATCCCTTACATTCCAATGCCTTCCCTCCCTCCTCCTGTTAACTGTTATCTGGTTGCAAGCAGGGCTGCATAGCGAGTCAATCATGACATGCCAACCTTCCATAAAGAAGACTAATCCTACCAGGAAACAAACACACATATTATTATAACCTATCAGGGTTGGTCCAGGTACCTAGCATGGAACCTCTGGATGAGTCTAGAGCAGAGGTGTCAAACTGGCAGCCCATGGGCTGGATGCATCATGCGCAGGCCACCCCAGCTCCGCAAATGGGAAACACGTCATGAAATGTCACATGATGGTAATGTGACGAGGCGAGTTTGACACATGTGGTCTAGGGGCATGGACTTTCGTTGCCGTCATCCATTCTGCCTCTTCCAAGGGAAACCCCTTCCATAAGACTAAATATTGCAACTTCCCCTTGTAGCATTGAGAGTCAAGAATCTCCTTGATCTTTCTCCTTCTACCCATATAGGGAGGGGGAGGCCTCAGCGGTGAACTATAGAAGGGCTTTAACAAACTACAGTAAAACACTGGGTGAATGTGCTTGAAGTTTTTTGGCAATTTCAATTCCACCATCACTGGATTCACAACCTGGATGATAGGGAAAGGACCTATGTACTTAGGCCCCAACTTCTTGCAGGACTACCCCAACTGCAAGACCTTCATGGACAGGTACACCTCATTTCCTATTCTAAACTCCTCAGGTGGCCTCTTCTTGTCAGCCTGTCTCTTCTGCTCTTCCCATGCTGCTTCTAACGTTTTGTGCACCACAAGCCAGATGGTTTTCAAAGTACTTATCCACTCAGCCAATGAAGTTGACAAAGGGGTCTCTTGAGGGAGTTCTGGCATAGGCAAAAATTCCACATCGATGGCAAAAATTCCACATCGATGAAAGGGGGTAAACCCAGTGCTGCTATGTACAGCGTTATTCTATGCCACCTCAGCAAAAGGCAGATGTTCATCTCAATTGTCTTGCTGGTAGTTCATGTATCATCGAAGATACTGCTCCAAGACTACATTCGTAAGTTCACAGGCGCCATTCGTTTGTGAATGTTGGGCAGAGCTAAGAACCTGGGAGGACCCTAACAAGCTCAGTAACTCATGCCAAAACTTTGATGTGAATTGCACTCCCCAATCTGAGATCATGCATTTCGGAACACTATGCAGTCAGTACATATGCTGTACAAAGAATCTAGCTAGGGATTGAGCAGAGAGGATCCTCTGGCAAACCACAAAGTGGACTTGCTTAGAGAATAAGTTTGTAATGACCCAGATCATAGTAGACTCAGCATTCTCCAGCAGCTCCTCAGTAAAGTCCATAAATATGTCCCTTGAGGGAGCCCTAGGGCTGGGCACAGTCTGTAACAGTCCAGGAGGCTTGTTCACTGGGCAGCGTCTTCACTGAAGCACAAACGGGACAGCTGGCTACCTAGTCTTCTATGTCTTTCTTCATCCGCACCACCAAAACTGTCTCTTTATGAGATGAAAGGTTTGTACAAATCCAAAATGCCCCGCTGCCTTCTCATCATGGCTTCACTGCAATACTGCAATAAGATTGTTGGCTCGATGGGATGTATAGTTTGCTCCCCATCTATGCCAATCAGTCCCTTAAGGACAGCTCACCTTTGTATTGTTGGAACCACTCATCCCCTGCCAAGGCTTCTATTAGTGGTTGCATTAGATTTTGGGTCAGCGGTGATGGCGATGCTTCTTGCTGTCTCGTGAGGGCTGGTGCTGCTACTTGTTTGGAAGGAATGATGGAATTGACAACCTCCTCTTGAGCACTGTTGTATTGTGGCATTTGTGAGGGTGTCTGCCAAGAAATTTCACCCTTCCAGTAGATAGCAGAGTGAAGTTGAAGTGACTGAAGTATTGGCCCTATTGTTCTTGGGAGACAGCTTTCGGGGAGCCTCCAGTGTTTCTAGGTTCTTATGGTCCATCCACACCTCGAGAGGAATCTTACTGCCTTCCAAAAATTGCCTCTAGTTTAGGAGAGCCTATCTGACTGTAGGCTTCCTTTTCCCAGGTAGCCCATCGTCTCTCAGTGCCTGAAAGCTTGTGGGATATGTAGGTTCATAGCTGCAACTCTCCCTTTGCATTCTTCTGGGGCAGCACTACCCTCAAGGCCACATCACTGGCATCTGCTTGAATCACAAAGGGCTCGTCTGGGTCAGTGTGCTCTAGGACCAGTTCAGCAGCGAAAAGATACTTTAGTTTCTCAAATGCGGCTTGGCACTTGAGTGACCGGTTCAGGGTCTGGACTTGGCTTCCCCTTTCATCTTCAACAAATTCATGATCAGTAGGGTTATTTGAGCGAATGTGGGGATGAATTGATGAATTCAAATCAAATCACCAGGACCTGACGGATTACATCCCAGAGTTCTAAAGGAACTGGCAGATGTCAACTATACCATGTCTTCCAAAAATCCTGGAGCACCGGGAAGTACGAGAGGACTGGAAAAGAGCTGATGTGGTTCCCATCTTCAAAAAAGGAAAAAAAAAAACAGCCCCAGGAAACAACAGACCAATCAGCCTAACATCAATACCTGGGAAGATACTGAAAAAGATAATAAAAAAACAGATCTGCCAACATCTAGAAACAAGTAAAATAATAACTAGCAGTTAGCATGGGTTTGTTAAAAACAGATCATGCCAAACATATTTCATTCTTCAACATAGAGACTAAATTAGTAAACCAGTGAAATACTGTGGACCTAATATACTTAGACTTCAGCAAGGCATGCTGAAGTGTAAGTATAGACTTATATTAGGGGGATCTCCTGTTGGGCGGGGGGGGGGAGGTTGGACTAGATGACCTACAGTACAAGGTCCCTTCCAACTCTGTTAATCTGTTAAAAAAAATTGGCAATAGAAGTTTGCAAAGCCAAGAAAACTCATTTGCAGGGGCTTCCACTGTAATATCACCCAGACGTTCCCAGGATCCATCTCTATGCCATCTTTATACAAGTGGTCATGCAGGATGTCATTTATCAGCTGCATGAACACTGCTGGGACCCCCTGTAGCCCAAACAGTATCAGGAACTGGTAGCAGCCCAGGGATCAGTTAAACTTCATTTTCAATTCCTCCCCTTCCTTAATTCTCACTCAATAATATGCCTCCCTCAAGTCCAGCTTCGTGAAGAGCCTTCCCTTTGCAGGCTGCCCCAACATCTCCTTCATCAACGGGAAGGGGTACTTATTTTTCATATTTATACAGTTTAGCCCTCTATAGTCGATGCACAGCCTAAGGGACCCATTTTTCTTTTCTTTAAAAAGCACTGGGGCTGCCATCCTCAACTTGCCCAGCTGAATGACACCCCTGGCTAAATTTTTGTCTATGAAGGTACAGAGCTCCTCCATCTCCCTGAGTGTCATCGACTAGCTTTGGCTTTGGTAACTTGGTCCCAGGCACAACCTCAATTGCACAGTCTGTGGAGCAGTGGGGTGGAAGTATGTCAGGTGCCTTCTCGCCAGACATATTTCAGCCAGATTGTGATACTCTTTAGGAATCAGCAGTTCTAAGATATCTCCTCCCTCTAATTTATTGGCAGTTTCTTCTTTCGCTTTCTTAATCACAGATATGTGGCAGTTTCTTTGCACTTTCATTAACTCTTGCGGATTGGATATTTTCCTTCACATCCGTCATTTGTTTCTATACCCAGTCAACAGATGGGCTCCATTTTTTCCACCATGCCAGGCCTAGAACCATGGCTTTGTTATTCCAGGAGCCATGATAAATTGAATAATGTCTGTGTGGTTTGTTACAGTGGTTTTCAGTTTCATAGCCTTGGTTAGGCACGTCGCTGGCACCCCGCCCGCTTCTTTAGCTTCCTTAGCCTTATCCCTTGCTTTTCTATGACTAGGGAATGACCAGGGATCCAACAGGATCGAGTCCAACAGGACCATAAGGATCCCCTTTGACTCTGAGGAGGAGATTGAAATCTCCATCCTAGCAGTCATAGGGATGATGGGGCCGCTTAACATTGGGTTGTCTTTTTCTTCGCTATTGCTTTCATAGAAGACTAGCCCCGTCTTGGCAGGGATCAAAGTTCCCTCTCCCTTGCTGGATGGAGGGGAGAACTCTATGACTTGTTGCCCCTCAGGTCGGAAGGTGTCCAATATGCTACTGGGGAAGAGCAGAAGGCTAGTACTAGTAGCGCCAGAAAGAGTGAAGCGACTGGGGCAAAGCTGAAAGGATGCTCAGCTGTTGATGTATCTGATGGTGAAAGAAAAGTCCAATGCTGTAAAGATCTATTCTCCATAGG